TTTAGATTAAGGTCTGTTATTTAAATCAGAACTGCCATATTTAGAAACCACATCCGCCATAACCTCTAAGGAGTGTCAGCAATTTAACAGTAATTTAATAATTTACAGTAATTGGTTATTGTTAACTGGAGGAGGTCATCAGTTTACATTTTTTCAATTTTTTCCATCCTCATTAGATTCACTCAAAATAAATGGAAAAAATAATGCATCCACTGGAGAAACATTGACGTTAAACAGGTATAACTCTATTGAATATGAATACAGAGCACGTGTTATAATATTCATAAGCAATAATTAATGTGCTGTTAATGTTTAATGTCTTTGAGGCTCAACAAACACGCAGACACTCCAATGTAACCATGACACATCCATGTGGTCTCACATGGGTCACAACAGTTATTGAACTAAAGTTTAGTGCTCTTTAATGTGGTCACAACTTTCATCAGGTTCCCACATATCAAGTCTCAGGACTCTGACCTGCACACCTGAGCCAAACCAAGCTGTCGCTGCGTGGTGGCCTGACCTCCTGTTCATCTGTCACTCAAAAGACCTTATATGATGTTGCTGCTGACGTGTTGTTGGGGCTGCATTCACCCCAGGAGCAGATGTGCCAGAGACACATTATACACACACAGAGATCACAGAAAACAGTGAGGAGGGAAAGACAGGTACACACTGAGACTAGATAGGGTGGCTCTTATAGCAGTGGGGGCTTAATTAGAGTGATAGAAGAACAAATGAGAAAACGACAGAGGACATAATTTCTTGTTATTTCCTTATTTAGCAGCTGTCAGTATTGTACTTACTCTGAACTGAGAGCGGAGACAGGCTTGTGTTCTCCGAGATGTTGCATGGTTCAGTAATTGCCTGCGACGCCTGTCAATTAAAGTCAAAGCCAAAAAAAAAAGGACAATTTGGGGGCTGGCTCTTTAGACTTGTTCATAGCTGATGGCACAGAGGAGTGGATAGCAGAACTGATACATCTTGGGTGGTGGACCAGTTCTGTTAAAACAAGACAGCTATTGCTGTATATTACATTGAATCAGTAATAAATGTTTAAATCTTTTTTTTTTATGTTTGATTTAACACCAACGTGGCTCAACACACAAAAGACTTAATTAATACAGTTTGGTAATGTCATTATTCCAGTTGATTTAATCAACAGCAGACATCTCTAAAACATCCAGTATGAACCTAGTACAGGGAACTCTTTACCCAAATCGCCTTCAGTTTGAAGCTGCAGCCCACATAGCCAAACAGGGGGCTGCCGATGCTCTATCTAAGTAATAGTAGTGCTGGCTTACCAGAAGTAACACAATGTCACCAAAGCACAATAGCACAGTCAAAAGCAGCAATTTAGATGTCAGACGTCTGTGTAAAAGTGGTGTAATAGCCAAGAACGCACCAAAGCTGTATGCGATTTTTTCCTCTTTTCACTTGTCTTCCCAGTCCGTTTGCTTGCAACTGCCTGAACGAGACTGTGCACGCAGCCTGCTTGTCAGTATTTCTTTTTACAGTTGTACACACTGTAAATTTGAAAAGTGTGATTCACAGTGGGGGAAAATTACAGGCCTTTTCATCTTAACAAATCATGGGAGAGAACTTATTGTCCAAACTAGGAGGTTGATGGGAGGAGGGAAAAAACAAATTTGCATTTAAACAGCTTGCTCTGTAAAGGACCTGTTCTCCACAGAAATTATTTCTGATAGCGACAAAGCTCCATGAAATTCACTTACACAGCATTTACCTAAAGGTGCTACATTTAGAGCAGCAATATTTCATTGTGACATCAAATTTCATTTGTCTAATTAACATAAACAACTCGGGATGTGTTGAAGAGGAGTGATAGCTATCTTTTTAATAGCGTTGATATTATTAGTGCTGATGTCGAAATGAATGACCACATTTCCCCTGAACCCCGTTCGCCCTGTCAAATCGGCCATCTATCTCCCCTTGAGCTGCAAGAAAGGCGCCCTCTTCCTCTTTTTTGTGCTGCATAAAAATCCAGCAGATTTCTCCCAAAACCTGACCTGGTTGTCAGACCCGTTTTAATTATAGAACGTGTTGTAAATATTTAATGAACAGAATACTGGCTGAGACTGATACCACCTCAAGCATGGACTAATCCACTGCATGTGCAGTGATAGCTTAGCTTATAATAAAGCTCCAAACAAGCAAAGAAGATGTCTTAGGTAAATCATCTTTAAACTGCATAGTCCTGAGCTGATTTCATTCATTACCTTTTATTATATCATGGTCTGGATAAATACTTGATTCTGATTGGCTGCAGGATGTCTATTAATTCCTGATAATGGAAACTTACTAAGTAGCTCCAGTCAAACTGTCTGTTCACTGTTCTAAATGGAGCCTATCCCAACTGACATTGGGCGAGAGGCAGGGTACACCCTGGACAGGTCACCAGACTATCACAGGGCTGACACATAGAGACAGACAACCATTCACACTCACATTCACACCTACGGGCAATTTAGAGTCACCAATTAACCTGCATGTCTTTGGACTGTGGGAGGAAGCAGGAGTACCAGGAGAAAACCCACACTGACACAGGGAGAACATGCAAACTCTGCAGAGAAGGGCTCCCTCCTGGGATCGAACAAGGAACCCTCTTGCTGTGAGGCGACAGTGCTAACCACCACACCACAGTGCTGCCTCGTTACATTAGGGAAAAGGTAGACTGTGAACATGAAGGAATGCACATGGTCAACAACAGCATTTAGGTCAGGAGCCCAAGAAAACTGCAGTTGACAGCAGACATGATTGATGCTTGGATTTATGTTGTTTAAGCCAAATTCTGACCCTGTCTTTGACTTGGAAACAAGATTTTGTCAGACAGTTTTCACTCCTTAGCCATGCTAGCACCGTGGCTCGTGGGAGGACAATACGGATAGATTACTGAATGGGCCTTCTTGGCACAGGCCCAGGTGCTCAAAATGATCAGGAAAAGACTCAAAGTGACCACAAAGAGATGCACAAAATTACCTTTAAGAGACACAAGGAGACACAAAAAATAAAATGCATTACAAAACACCTACAAAGAGACACACAGAAGGATGCATAATGACTACATATGGATGCAAAACCACCACAAAGTCTGTGTATCTTTGTAGCAGAGGTGGTGGGGCCCTTTGCAAATCTGTGCCCAGGGGCCCTTTGTCTTATAATACACACCCATGGATGACAGTGTAGTTTTGACAGTTGGCCTTCCACTTTGGTCAAGACTGAAATATCTGAACAATGTTTTCCTGGATTGCGATGAAATGATGTACAGACATTTACTGAAGACTCCTGATGTTGTTTGTACATAGCTGACGTGAGTGTAACCCAGCACGGCCTCTTCTATTTTAACCTGTCTGCTTCAAGGATCGATGAGTTGTGCATTCAGAGGATGCACATTTGGTCAAATCTTAAGACGTCACCTGTGTCTAAAACTCTGAAGCCGGTGCATTTTTCCCTCATGCTCATATTAACTTTAGATTCATGATACTCAGTTTGATGTTTAAGCAAACATTAACTGACCTCTCAACTTAGCTGGCGTGCTTCATACATCTGCTTCATTCACATGTCAGACACTTAACATAGGCACAAGCTGTTCACTTAAAAAAGATGTTATACCGACTGAAGTGAGCCACTGTGTGTGTGTGTGTGTGTGTGTGTGTGTGTGTGTGTGTGTGTGTATCCCCTGAAGAGGACTAGAAGTTCTAATTCCTGCCTGTGATCATCATATTTCGGTCATGACTTTGTGCTCCATGTTCTCTCACTCGTGTCTCATTCCTCATCTCCCTCTTAGCATCCTGTGTTATACAAAAAAGCCCTTAACGCATCCTCTGCGCAACTTAAAAAGCAGCACTGCTGAAGAATACTGATTTTGATAGATTATATGGCTGCGAGTCGGTATACAAAAGGATTATGAATAGGGTGTAAATGAAGCACTTAGTGATACAGATTCACTTGAAGTGCTATTTGGGTTTTCTTATTAAGTGGGTTTCTTGGAGATGGGGCTCTTCTTTGACTGACGTATCTTGATATTCACATTTAGGCCTTTTGTTCGCGTCGAGTGTCCCAGTCTCTCTTTCCTGGTGGAATGAACTGCAAACCGAAATTAGTGGACCGATTCAGTCGAACAGCGTGTCAAAAAAGGGCTCATGTGCATGTGAGTCTGTTTGAGGTCTTTTTATTCCAGATCACCCGAGGCGTCTTCATTGGAGCTTCTTCTTTGGTAGGAAGGATTCATTTGAAGTTCGCCCTGCAGTGTCACATCACTGCTATCCTTTTGTGACTTCAGATGGGATTACTGATCCCGTTATGCAGAACAATCACAACTTGATTGGGAAATAATTTATCACCTTCTTCCTCATAGAGAAGTCTGATAAACCCCAAAACATCACACTCAGCATGTGTGTATCAATCTGTTTGACGGGGTGTACATGTGCCTGTTTATGCACAGACACCTGCACCTGAGACATAGAATATAATGTTTGTTACATTAACAACACTGTGAGGTATAATCAGTAACATTTTCAAAGGGAATCTTGTGTATCTGGTGCTCCACAGTGACTTTGTAGTTTATTTATCATACTTTCTATAATGTTATTATTGCAGTATCCATTTAATGTAGCCCATGGTAACATTAGTTTTCTTATTTGGTTGGTATCCTAAAATGTAGTCTTATTATAGCAGCTGGATTGGCCATGTTCTTTAAAAAAAGAAAAAGAAAAACACTTCTTCCTAATCCCTCTTGACTCATTGGAAAAAAAAGCTTATTAGCTCACTCTATTTTTAATTTGCATTGTTATTCTACGCCTTTTAAATTTATGTAAACAGCTTTTTCTAAAAAGCACACTAATGACAGCATCACCGGTGACGTTCACACGGAGAAAGGCAGAGACTTGCGCTAAACGGAGCGCAGCTCTGACGCGTTGTTTCTGCAGCGCTGTCTGGCGCACACAGATATAAAACCCAGCGCGCACCAAGCGCCCAGAAGAGCAGAAGAGACGCCTCGGGACAGCGCGCAAATCTCCCTCTGATCCTCTGGGAAATGTAAGTACCTTGATATTTGATTTACAAGAACCTTGACTTTAAATTATTAAACTTATTGAAGGTCCCTCAACATGACTTTGGTAATGCAGCTGCAAAAGTATTGGAAATCTATAGTAGTATTTCGATTTCTTTTTTACTTCAACCAAGTATACATGTATTCCACAGGCAATGGCATCAGTAAACAGTTATGAATCTTAGCTAAATAAATATTGACAATTAGTTTAAAAAGTTGCATTGGAACAAGTGTCCAGTGATGCAGCATGGACTCAGTTTTCACTTGTCCTTGCTCGGTCAGATGCATCCTAACTTAGTGAGCTGGTTGGGGACTCTGGGGTTCCTGCTGTGGGCGCTGCTCTGCCTGGGCGCCCTGACGGAGGGATACCCGGTGAAACCGGAGAACCCGGGGGATGACGCCCCGGCGGAGGACCTGGCGAAGTACTACTCAGCCCTGAGACACTACATTAACCTCATCACAAGACAGAGGTAGGTGGACTAGTGACTCCTCTCTGCTGGAATAGAATAGAGCAGAAAGCCTATTAATAGAGCTGGAACTAATTTGATTTTAGGTTTGAACTTACAAGGCACTATTTGTTTTCTCCTTGTATGAATGGATTGGTGATATTTGTCCAGTGACTGGTTGTTTCCACACATTATTCTAGTCTATTTAATTCTGTCCAGTTTCACAAATATGTATCCACTAAGTAGCCTATAATGAGATGACTGCTTTTGGATAAAACTTGTAAGTTCAGTGGTGCTTCAACATGTTCTTCTACTTTCTCCCATAGCCCTAAATTCACTACTGCTGAGCAGGATTTTAATTTTAAGGGATTGTCTATGATCATGGCTGAAGGTTCACAAAAAATAATATGTTTAATGCATTTTTTCCCAGTATCTCTGCTATCATCTAACTAGCTGACAATTGTCTTCCTGCAAACTTTCCTTAACATTTAGCATTTTCCTGTTGTGTTCTTGACATAATCTGACAGTAACGTGTGAACCTTTGACATCAAACAAAGTCTACGTAAAGTTTTGCCTGTTGGAGCTGCCAGCTTAAGTCTTGCAAGTCTGGCTGTAGCGTCTCACACCATGTTACAAAGCAGGGAACACCCGCTGCCTATTTGCCACCTGTAAAAAAAAAAAAAAAAAAAAAGAAATAAAAAAGAAACTGAGGAGAAATGAATGCCACGGCCAGCATGGCGTATCCAATCACCCACAGTTTTCAGCTTTCTTCTGAATGTCAGGGGCTTGCATGCTGGCTCCAGGCGTTTAGCCACCCAGGGGGACGAGCGCGATGGCACAGCTTATCATCTGAGGGACAGAAAAGGAAATATGACCACCTGTGATGCAACTCCTGTCTGGCCCTGCAGGGTCTCAGTCTGACTGTGCTTAGTCTTCACTGAGATTATAATTGGACATATGACACAACGACATGCCGCATATTAGGTTGAGTTATTTATTTCCCTGTACTCAGCCGAGGTCTCTCTTTTTCTCTCTGGTGTTTTTTCATTTGTCAGCAAAAGGTCCATGCGGGTGCTAAGTCCTTTAAATGTCCATCTGTCCAATTAACTACCTGCCTGTGTGTCTCTGTCTATGTCTCAGGTATGGAAAAAGGTCCAGTCCTGAGATTCTGGACACACTGGTCTCAGAGCTGCTGTTGAAGGAAAGCACAGACACGCTCCCACAGTCAAGGTGTGTGTGTAAAGCTGTGAGTGTATAAACTCCAGATTGTTGTAACTCTCACAGGAAGCTGACCTTGTCCTGTGTTTCTCTCTCAATAGATACGACCCATCATTGTGGTGATGCTGTCATCAGTGTTGGCTCCACATCACTGCCGCCCCGCCGCCGCTGACATTCTGACCTCTACACATCTGTCACTACACACCTTCCTACACCAAAAGACCACCCTGCCTCTGCCCCCTTTACCTCTATGAGCCGCCACGTATATTCGACCCCTCCTCATTGCCCGACAGCTACAGTCACAACTGCTTAAAGTATGTGCCATAAAATTGTAAATAGTTTATTCAGAGTTCTCATCTGTGAAACATAACAGTAAAGTGGAGGAGGGCATGTTGATTGTATTGTATAATTGTGCTATTAAAGATTAATTGTTTGAAGAAATGTGTTGAAATGTAGATTTCATTTTAAACAAACTGCAGCCAGGGTGGTAATTCACTAAACCGTGACAAAAAAACCTGTCTGATATTTGTTTGCAAAATGTCAGAACATAGCCTGAGCAGGGGTGAAATGGAGCACTGACTGATGGCTGACATCACATTATATATTCATCCTGCCACCCAGCTGTCAGATTAGAGAGAACATCAGTCCTGAATGCTCCCCTGATGTGAAAATGTTTTTTACAGCTGCTCTCCTTACACATCTCAGACACTGTTTGCTTGATGTCTTCTCTCGTGATGAGATCGAGTTTGGACTTACTGTGCTGCACCTTGCCTTCCAGCTGAAACCCATGATGGTGGCAGCTATTGTATCTCGATGACACTGGATAATGGGGCATGGGTACAGTGAAACTGGGTCCAGCAAGCACGGATGGTCCAGTAAAAGCTTACATGGTCAGAAAACATCAATTTGAAGCTGCCAATTGGGTATCTAATGGCGCTCTCTTGTGGCCAGAAGGATAAGTACCTACTCTGAAACTAAATGAAGGGAGAAATGGCATTTCCAGGAGCATTATTGCAATTACACGAGTGGTTAGCCTACCGCAGCCTGACATCAAATCAGCCCATAGAGCACAAATCAAGCAGTTAAGAGGTTATGCAGACACACAGTCTGCAATGGAAATTAGATAACCCACAGGACGAAAAAAAGCATTCACAGGGGGACCCGATGAGTTCTTGGTATTCATGTGGTGCTTTAACATCTTACCCTAAGCCTGGAACAAGTATTGAATCATTGATAAAATAGTAGCGCCTGGTCAATCCTGACACTGAACCATGAATTGAAGACTTGACACAGCGCTTCATGGTTCTGCCTCTACAAGCTACAGGCTTCGATTCTCTGTGGAGAATATAAAGGTAGTTAAAAAAAATGAATGCAAACACTATATGGAGTCTGGTAAAACTTAGGCTGCATTAAAAGCTGATCATTTATCCAGGGGTGTAGCACCAAATTCTGGGCGCTATGTGTAAGCCGAATCTGTGGGCCCCCTGCTCTTTCTCTCATGATCCATGTCCCTTTCACGCACCTTTTGTGTCTGTCTTACTTTTCTTTTTTGAAACCCCAATTTCCCTTTTTCGGGGGAAACATGACAGTGTTAGTTGGTTCTCCAGCAGCAGAAGCAGTCACTCACTCAGCTCTAGCTGCATTTAGTGAAAGACCCTAGTGCAGGGGTGGACTAAACCATTTTGTGCCAGTCTTTTAACAGTTGATTTAATTTAGTTACGACTCTAATTACTTGGAGATGAGAATTGCAGACAAAACCAAACGTTTCATCCGAGGCCCTCATCCAACTGGGGCCCTGTGTAATCAGACCCACTTTTTCCCCCTACTGTGACACCCCTGTGTTTATCCTAAAATTTTCAAGTAATCCTGAAGTGTGGACTTTAATCTGTCCAATAACGTTTGTGAAACCATTACAACTGCAGTCAACCCTCACTTAAGGTATTGTCTAGCATGTGTATTAGCCCTTGTTAACACATTAATGGGATATTAAAATTGTCTTAGCCTATATAACTTACTATTATGTTACTCAAGAGGGGATTTGGAGTAAAAATTCAGAGCTCTCTTAGTATTGGCATACATGTGGCTTGTGTAGCTATACTTGTCTTATATTTTTAAAAATATGCTTAAAGTTTTATGATGGTGCCTTATCATGGTAGCTGCATAGACTTAGCCTACTTATGCTTATACTCTTCTGTGGTGGTCTACATGAATGTTCATGGTCTATTTGGAATTACGCAAACATGTGTTTATGTGAATGGACGGGTGTGTGACATGGTGATAGAAAAATACTACATGCTACTATGCATTCACTTAGCGAGGGCCGTACCTCAGCTGCCATTGGTCGATGCTGTATGACGTCAGGCAATGGGGCGGGGCGTGTCTGTTTGATTGGCGTCGTGTTCTCTGGTAGTCTGCTGCGGGACCAGGACAGACAGCTGAGGGGGGGCCTGAATGTCCAACCGGGACGGTCGGTGGACTACCGCGAACTCACACGCACGATTCACAGGTAAGTCACGGCTCGTGATCGTATTTGTGATGCGAAGATTTTAGATTCATTCATCCTCTGGCTTCCAAACAGGAGACAAAGACACTTTGCCGTGTTTAGAGTTTGACAGAAAGGGGAGGTTTGCCCCCCATAGAGCCCGCTCTGCTGTGAGAACAGGCTTTATTCACACACAGACCACTCTGCGTCGGGCGCCCATCGTGGAGTGGGAAGAGTCCTTTCCCTTTTCCTGCAGATCATGAGGAAGGATACAGCGGATGGGTTGTAGTCCTAAGTGTGCGCACGCTACAATGGCTCGGATGGGTAACAAAAAATGGCCGCACGTGTGGTGAGATCGGTGCGAACGTACAGTTGTCTGGTCAGCCAGAAACGGCGCAAGCGTCTGGCACGGATCTGGCGCACGGTTCAGAGCGCACGGTATCTGGCGCACGGATGTGGCCGTGCGTCAGAACCGTGGCGTCGATCCATGACTGGGAAGACATGAGGAAAGAGCAGCAGGTTTTGGTGCTGACAGGATGAGGTCGGAACGCGCCACCGTCCCGAAATGATAGACTGCAACATCTACCAGCAAAGGATGGTGGGCTTGAGAGAAGACACAGAGAGCAGCAGGTCATACACAGTATCATGTGCACTGGGTAGAACATGTCCTCTTGTTTTGTTGTCTAGAAAAACTTTCACAACAGATAGCCTATCAACAAAGCTTAGTTTGATTTGAGCTGATGCTGAATGAAAACCTAGAGGGGGCACCGGTGATCTGGCACAGCCTGACGCAGCCAGACGCTCCTATTGATTTTTACTTTTGTCCTCCACTGAAATCTATGAGTGCTCTACCTAATAATATTGCTCTAACACGATGTCAGAACCACTTTGTGTGAGCACTTAATCGAAACATGACACCACTTCCATATTACAGTAGACTACAGCTCTCAATGAATCTTGGGACTTCCTTTGCTCGGAGGAGCACAGGGTCACTTGGCAAGGTTTATAAGCTGTTTAGCCTCGCGCACGTGATTGGGGAAGCCCATGCACATACGCAACATCCTTGGGGATCCTTCCTGGGAGGGGCAATACAGGCCACCAGACCACTGTAGAGGGGCTGCATGGATCTTGTTGCATCTAAACCAGAGTTTATGGATCTTTCCCTCTTCCTTTGAGTCCTGTAAGAAGCCCTAATCAGATTTGTTGAATCTAATAGGAGGAACAAAAGGAGGAAGGGAAGGAGACCGAGACAGTTTAGTGCATTAGAGTAAATCTGCAGTCCCTGGGCAGGGATATCCAGCAAGAATCCAGGATGACCTTTATTGTTCTGCTGAAGTAGGTAGAATGAGGCACAAACTTCTCAGCCCTCATATGCATATCCCTTCCTGTCAGCAGGAAGGAGAAGAACATGAATTTCAAGTGGAACAAATGCTGCCATGTCAGAACACACTACTACTTTTCCATTATTAATACACAGCTATGGAAGAGATAGTACAGAAAAAGGATGGGAGGGGCAGAGCCTGAAAGAGACAGAGAAACATACACACACACACCCATACACACACAAACTGGAGTGACTCACACTTCCCAGCTATGAACAACACATGTATCAGAGGATTGTTATCAACACACCTTTCATCAACCATCCCTGTTCTGCGCCAGGCTGCACCTCCCTACATTTAACGCATAACTGACCCTGTCACGGTAATCATGAGCTAACTGCATCTCTGTGGGGAAAGTACACAACTGAATGACTAACCTATACAGAGAGGAACGCTAGCTCGGAGGGAACTTTATGTAAAGAATTGCTTCAAGGCAAATGTTTTCGGCAGTTTCTTGCTGCAGCCTATAGTGCTGATTCGCCAGATTTCGTCCATCACTAAAGCCTTAAAGGGGCACGCCACTGCAGATAAACAATAACATTATACATGTAGCGTGAGATAGCTTGGTTTTAATCACCTCCTTATGACTTTCATAACCTTAAAAAAGATGTTGAATCTGGGATGCACCACTCTGATAAAACTCCACAGACAACAGACTGATAAGGATGATAATATGATGATGTATGAGAGATAATAACCAGCATATTTTCTGATTCAAAAGTCATCTGCTGATGACATGATTTAAGGTCATCCTGTGAGCATACCAGCTGAAAGTCACATTCTCTTGAACTGGAGCTGCACCAGTGTAATACACACACACACACACACACAAACACAGTAGAACCCTATGTAGGAGACGTCTGTGTTTGCAGTTCTTGCCAGTATAAAAAAACCAAGACAAGATGAGCTTAGAAAAAGGCAAATACGCAGGGTAAACTCATTAGAGACTAATTTCTTTTCCTTATCATCTCCTCCCGCTCTCCTCTTACCATCCAACACCACACAACATCAATTTTCCCATTTTTAAACTTTGCAGTCATGTCAAGTGAGGTTGCATCACTTCGCCCTCCCCCGTCCCCTCCCTATCTCTTCCTTAATACTAATGATCAGTAACAGGAGGCCAGGAGGGGAGAGAAGACTGAGAGGAAGCAGGCACAGCCATGTGGCGGGTTAGATTATGTCATGAAGTGCTCATTATTAAGACCACTGTGCATTTGGTGCCGAAAGGTTTTGACGAGCCGCGTAATTATATCATCCCAAGCTGCGTTGCAAAGTGCAGGCACCCCACCAGCTGGAACATAACCGAGGAGCAGAATGAGGTCATTTTTTGGTGATGCTGGGAAAGTGCAATGATGCAACAATTGATGTCTTTGTGTTAAATGGCGGTAGTTCAGATTGCAGTGTCAGGTGAAGAGCAGAGGTAAGCATGAATCAGCAGAAAGGTGGATAAAGATGCATCCTCATCTTTTGTCGAGGAGTTGGAGAGCCTGAGGTGATTCGACGAAATTTTCACCAACAGCTGCAATATTAGGATGACAACTGGTTAGAAAACGTGG